GCTCGTCCTCAATCCTTTTCAGAGCGGTGCGCTTGATCAGACGCATGAATGCCTCACGTTTACCCGGCAGCTCATGTCGTTTGTACTTGAAGTTTCCAAGTAGCACACCGCTGTTGATGTCGGACTGAGCGGAGGCGATACAGGATGACAGACCCTGACAAATGACACAGCAACCAGACAAGCATGCCATTGTAAAACATGGAATCATTAGGCGGCACGGGCGAACAAACCTAAACCGAAAAATTGCAAGTGGCAGAGGAAACACAAGGTTGGACTCGGATGGAGAGCCAAGGATAAGTTTAGAGAAAAGAAAAAAGGACCGAGGAACTACAATGCTATCGTATGAAATGATTGTTTAGTGCTGCTGGTGGTGTTAGGGATACTATAGCGTACCTTGTAGCTCCTTGGTCTTTTTTCTTTTCTATAAACACAAGGTTCCTGGTTTGAGTACCGGCGGTGTGGCTGGTGATTTTTCTTTTTCTTTTTACCTCACTCGTATGACGCTTGCGAGTGCTCAATTGCTGAGAGAAAGGAGCAGTAGGCAAACAGTCTAATTTCCACACACTCGCTACACGTAGATATATTTATTTATTTTTAGGTCAACGTTGTACGGCAAAGCCTGCTAAAGACGACCACTCAACGGCCCCTTCGATTGTGGCCTCCAGGTTCAGGTGATCTCCCTATCACTGGTCATTTGACGGGAAATAAAACCCCTTGGTACTAATATATACTGGTGGAAAGAAACCAACCACATGCCATGTTTATCGACAAGCAAGTTCAGTGAAGTCTGTAACTAAAGACCACCGTGCCTAGCGACCAACCTGGCACTACAGACCACTTCGCCCGGCACGGACGGTCTCACATTCATACACCGTAAAGTCCGTATTAATAAGTACGTATTTACTTTCGAATTTAGTGACCACACCCGTACTAACTTTCGGGCGGGTACTGACTTTCGGGCACGAACTAACTTTCGGACCTGACTTGTGTGTAATGGAGAAGTAATTTTCATGTCGATGTACATGCTACGTGCTGCATGTGCGCATCGGACCGGTACTTATTTCGGGCAGTATGTTTATCGGGCTTGACTTGACTTCAACAGACAGAGCCAAAAGAATGAAGGGGGTATTTCTTTCGAGCAGGTACTTATTAGACACCCTTAGCAAAAAACGTTATGTTGTAACGGTATTATCGTAAGGGGGAAAATACCGTGATTTGGGTTCGACCTTTAGCAAGATGCACGCTATTTTTAGTACGCTGTTGCCACGAGAGTAGCTTTGATTTCGCGCGGTACAACCATTTTTGTCACCATATACGCGATACAAGGTGAATTGCGTACGGACTATGCAATATTTGGCCAAAACACGTACCGTTGGTCAAAACGATAAATCAGCCCCCATAACGTTTATACGCTGCAGCTTCAACGCTATTTGGGTGATCAAGGTACGAGTACCGTAAAAAATAGCGTTACCGTTGTTTGCTAAGGGTGTCTAATTACGGACTTTTACGGTATTATGTGGCTGCGCACTTCAAACCTCTAACTAAGGACCACCTGCCATTTAAGACCAATTTCTCCGGCCCCAAGGGTTGGTCGTTAGTTACAGGTTTTAATGTACAGTCAGACCGCGTTTATCCGGGTCCCTCGCCGTCCGCAAGAAACTCGTTGGTTACCAATTTACAGCATACACCATGCACACGTACAGTGTGTGTGTTCGATTATCCGCTTCCCTCGCCTATCCAGATATTTTTTCTGGAAAACGGATGTGTGCCGTTATGCGAGGTCTGACTGCCCAGTGTAACCTGTCTAAGGCGACCGATCAAGGGACCTTCAAAATGTGGTCGCTGTGTAAAGGGAAATTAGACTAGAAATTGTATCCCTTGGTCCTTATGGTAGTGGTCCTCTAAGGCAGGTGGTCACCTTATCAGAGTGGTCCTCTAAGGCAGGTGTTCACCTTATCAGAGTGGTCCTCTAAGGCAGGTGGTCACCTTATCAGAATGGTCCTCTAAGGCAGGTGGTCACCTTATCAGAGTGGTCCTCTAAGGCAGGTGGTCACCTATCAGAGTGGTCCTCTAAGGCAGGTGGTCACCTTATCAGAGTGGTCCTCTAAGGCAGGTGGTCACCTTGACAGGTTCTGCAATAATGTTAGAGGGCAACAGCGCTAACCTACCCGAATGGTGATCTGTCCGTCCTCGTTACGGCCAATAGACACGCTGTGTCGGTTCTCAATGTCCTCAATGGCTGTCTGCGCATTCTCATCCTGTAGTGTGTAGAGGGCGTGCTTGAGGAACCGCATTGCCACTCCACTGCTACAGCGTAGCATCTCAGTCTGTCACAGAAACACACAGAGAGAAAGACAGAGAGAGAGAGAGTGTGTGTGTGTGTGTGTGTGTGTGTGTGTGTGTGTGTGTGTGTGTGTGTGTGTGTGTGTGTGTGTGCACATGTGTGTGTGTGTGTGTGTGTGTGTGTGTGTGTGTGTGTGTGTGTGTGTGCACGTGTGTGTGTGTGTGTGTGTGTGCACGTGTGTGTGTGTGTGTGTGTGTGTGTGTGCGCGCACGTGTGTGTGTATGGGTGGGGGGGGGGGGGGGGGGTTGACATCCATACAGTACAACCCGAGAGCCAAAGAACAACCAGGCTAGAATTTCACCAGGTACAGCATACCTATGCATACACGGCAACTCAACTGTGCATAGCCTGGAATACATGAAGATGAGAACGGTCTAGGCTACAAGGCTGAATTTCCCAGTTCTTCGGAACCCGGCAGTACTGAAGTTGTAGAATAACAAACAACACTCTAATCCGGACCCAGCCCACAAACCACTCGCGTACCTTAGCTTCTTGCAGAGCGAGCTGGGACGCCACAAACTCCTTCAGACGGTCAGCGGCAGCCTGTAGGTCCTCAGCGGCGAAGCCCTGCAGGATGACAGCGTCCTGATCACGCCGAACTGTGTACGCCACGTGGAAATCCTCGCGCAAAATTGTCAGGCTGCACGTCGGATGAACCCTTAGCGTCCGCAGAAAGTCTCCCGGCACATTGACATTAGCCTGTCGTGCAGGGTCCGTAAGGCAACACAGACGAGAGAGAGAGAGAGAGAGAGAGAGAGAGAGAGAGAGAGAGAGAGAGAGAGAGAGAGAGAGAGAGAGAGAGAGAGAGAGAGAGAGAGAGAGAGAGAGAGAGAGAGAGAGAAGAGAGAGAGAAAGAGAAAGAGAGAGAGAAAGAGAGAGAGAAAGAGAGAGATAGATAGATAGAGAGAGAGAGAGAACAGGGCTTGGTTGAAACACGGGTTGAACAAGAAAGCGTGGCACTAGCAGGCCCGGAGCCAGCTCCTGAGAGGTGGTATGGCCCCAGGTCGGCCACACTGTCGATCATCACCCTATGCCCAATTTCAGTATCATGGGTGGATGGACCACCAGCTCTATGCTACATCGTATCTGGTTGTTTTGGCTATAAAACACTAACTAGACTGGCCTCCTCAACTACACCCAAACCAACACATGGAAAACTAGACTGGCCTCTGGACCTCGGTCTTCAGGAACATGTACTATTGTAGAACACGAACAAGAACACCCAGGACTGTCATCATGAGGTAGAAAGTATTTGTTGTTGTTTAAAAGAGTATAATATCTTGTAGAGCCTCCGGGGTCAGCTACACACACACGCACGTGCACACACACACACACACACACCTTTGACGCCCATCGCCGGAGGCGATGATAGCAATGCTACGGCAGAAGCCATAGCAACTCGTGCTGGGATTGCACCATTCAACAGCTTGCAAGGCTGAAGAATTGACCGTCACTATTCAGCCTGGTCTACACCACACAGCTATATGAAGTGACTTTTTCTGGCCAGTGAATCCCTATTTTTGGGATTTTTTTCTTTTTTTTCCCGCACACACATCACACCACATACTCTGGCATGCACTGGCTGTTGGTAACCACCCAGGAGAATGAAAGAAAAGTCAGGAAGAGTCTGAGAAAGAGAAGAAAGACGTGTGTGACCATAATCGTCGGGAATCGAACCCGCAACCTATCGATTGGAAATCGCTGCACATACCACTGCACCATATAGGACACACACACACACACACACACACACACACACACACACACACACACACACACACACACACACACACACAAACACACACACAGCACGCGCACACACACATACACAGGACACAAAAGGAAAGCACGCTGCCACCTGGGGCAGGTCTTCACCGCTCTACTGATATCTCACCACATCGGGACTACTGAGAACCTGCTTGACTTCGTCGATGGGCTTGCGGCCCAGGGCACCGATCGTCAGCGTTGTGATCTCAGGCGTGGCTTTCTTCCCGCCACCACCACCACCTCCACCCTTTGCAGATGTCGGTGCAGGCGGAGGGACGTAGACGATTGCACTGTTGTTGTTACGTATGGCGTGACACGCCGGCTCAACCAACTCTGTCTTGCACGACACTTCCTCGCTTTGGTAGCTAAGGAAACAGAAAAAAGGTGGGATACCGACAAATACATATTTTAGGACTCAGTTATCCTCACTCTGGAAACTATGGGAAAAAGGAGGGGGGGGGGGGGGGAAAGCATGGGAACAAAGGGGGGGGGGGGGGCGACTATGGGAACAAGGGGGGGGGGGGGACCCGATAAACACAATCATACCAAGAGTACATAACCCCCCAGAGTGTGCAACGCCTGATCCAGCTCTGCATAGGGTCTTGGTCGAGCGGAATCGGATCTTTGCGTCATAATACCGTACACATCTGAGGGGAACCCGGGGAGTCGCGGGTACTCTCGGATCAAAAACAATGGTGCCCTGCCTCGAGACCGGCCTTGCGCTGGTGTGGAGTGTACGCATGACATCAGAGGATCCGATTCCGCTCGACCAAGACCCTATGCAGAGCTGGATCGGCGTTGCACACTCTGGGGGGGTTATGTACTCTTGATCATACATTAGGACTCAATTATCCTCACTCCGGTAACCCATAGTTAAGAGTAGAGCCCACACGCTCTCTTCCACTAGAACACTGCAATAATTCAACTCATTTCATAATATTACGTTTCGGCAAATTGCCTTCATCAGGTTCACAATGATGTGCAAGCTCTCAAACCAGCATTTGATAAAGGCCAACTCCCCTGTCAGTAAGAGCTGGGTATGAGAAGCAGCGCGATAAGAATTCAACTAATACAATGTAGCGCTAATATCGACTATCAGTGGATGGGACTACAGCTGAGGTAAAAACAAAAACAAAACAATAAGCGCATTATTCAGCGCCGAATGTCCTGATAATCAGACAATATGCGAGTGGCGATACAAATTACAGCAATGACCACCCAGCGTTAGTGTTTATCTTCAGAGCCAAATTTCTGATCTCCACAGCCTCCCTCAATTTCCCGCTAGCCCTGTCGCCTTCCCGAGCGAGGACTGATACTGCTGTGAAGACGCTATCTCGCAGTCTCAATCTCCTGCGCGAAAGGTTGTTTCTCATATGGTCACCCCAAGGCTTGTCACGAGTCCTTCGACGTGCTTCTCCATTATGTTCCTTTAGACGGGTCTCTAGTGATCGTTCTGTCTCTCCAACGTAAAACCCGAGTATCCCAATTGAGGAAGGCCAAGAAGAAGAACAAGCGGAGGAGAAACATAACATGGTACAACCCACCATACAGCAAATCTGTATCCACCAATATCGGCCAGAGGTTTTTCAAACTAGTCAGCAAACATTTCCCTGCCGCGTCGCCACTACACAAGATCTTCAACAGAAACACATTGAAGTTGAGCTACTCCTGCATGCCCAACATGTCCTACCTGATGAAGGGACACAACCAAAAGGTACGAACGCCTGGTGAAGAGAGATCTGCAGCAGGGTGCAACTGCCGAGCCAAGCCATCATGCCCTTTGGGCGGCGGATGCTTGGAGGGGGAAGTGGTGTACCAGGCCTCCGTCACAACCCCAAGTACCGGCGAGGAAAGGCAATACATCGGCCTGTGTGAGACGCCCTTCAAGGTGCGCTATGGCAACCATCTAACCAGCATGCGGCATGAAAAGTACCGTACCAAGACCGAGCTATCCAAGCACACATGGGCGCTGGCTGACCAAGGTGAGGGATACAGTATCAAATGGGCAGTCATAGATCGGGCCAAGTCCTACAGCAACATATCCAAAAGGTGCTGCTTGTGTTTAGCAGAAAAGTTGCGCATCATCACCTTCAAGACGCCTCACATTCTGCTCAACAAGAGGTCGGAGTTGGTATCAAAGTGCAGACACCAAAACAAGTTCTACCTCTCCACCTACTCTGCCGTGACATAGCCACCGCGCGCTACCACTATCACCGCCACATCCTCTGAATACCCGCGGCTGTTGAATGTGGACACCACAGTGTGCTTCCACCGCCACACATCACACCCCCTGCCCAGTGCCCCCATGGCTTACCCTTGTCCTGCCTGGTGGTTTCTCCGTCTCTGCACGCTCCATGCATAGTTCGCGCCTACTGCGCATGCCCATCCAGTGATGATGTAATTCTTATCGCTCGCTCTTCCCATGCATGCCCTGCATTGATAACTCACACCTCCTCTACATGCCCATGCGTATCCCCCACAATAAGAACAAGCTATCCCGCGACAAAAGCATTAGTTGTGAACTTGTCTGATGATTGCCTTAGCATTTAGCTACTTGCATGAAACGCAGCGTTACAACGTATGTATATATAATTGGTGAAACCATTCTTTTTGACCTTTGTGGTTACGCTCCGCCCTTGTGGTGTTGAGCACTGTTGAAACCTGGGTATACCCACTTATCCAATTGAGGAAGGCGTTGATGCCGTGGGCGACATCCTAGGCGAGCATTTTCAGCAAATAGATATGTTTGGCCTCGATGTTTGCCAAGCCAAAAACTTGCTCAGATTCGTTCTTACTCACAATTACTTCAGATTCGGTCGTCAAATTTACCACCAGCTTGACGGGGTAGCTATGGGCAATAATCTTGCACCACCATTTGCAATTTTGCTTATGCACACCATAGAAACACGTATTCTCCAGGACTCCTGGACAGAAGGTATAGTGATGATATCATTATCCTCTGGATACATGGAAAGCAGCGACATATGGAGCTGATCGACCGAATCAACAACGTGCACCATCGAATCAAGTTCACCTATGATCTGAGCTGTTGCAGGGGCTGCCTAGACTACATGGATGTCACCATAGCTATTCAACAGTCAGGCGAATTGTCATATAGACTATTTCAGAAGCCGTGCAGCAGTGGTTTGTTAGTTGACTACGCATCTTCAGTCCCTACTCATGTCAAGCTGGCCGTCGCACAGTCGCAATTCTTGAGGGCACAGCGACTCTCATCCAATGCTCAGATGCAAACTGAAAGTGAACATCAGATACACAAACAACCACGCCTGAACCATTATCCAGAAAGCATCATATCAGAGGCAAGGAAGCCTAGACGTCGACGCAGAGGAAACCCACGCTGTGCATTCCTTAAACTACCGTTTAAGTCGGATCAAGTACACCATAGGGTAAACAGGGCCATTCGCAAGTACAAACTGCCGGTAAGAGCAGTTTATGAGCACTCGGGCAGTCTCCGCAATCAATTATGTCGTTCAGCACATTCTCCACCCCAGTGTGTCAAGGAGCAGAATATTACGCAACGTAGGAAACGAGGCCGCCCGCTTGAGCCATGTCTTACATGTCAATCCGGTGGGGAAAAGGTTTGCATGAAAAAGAATGCAGTATACAGAATAGATTGCAAATGGTGTACGGAATATTACGTTGGAGAGACAGAACGATCACTGGAGACCCGTCTAAAGGAACATAATGGAGAAGCACGTCGAAGGACTCGTGACAAGCCTTGGGGTGACCACATGAGAAACAAGCATTCGCGCAGGAGATTGAGACTGCGAGATAGCGCCTTCACAGCAGTATCAGTCCTCGCACGAGAAGGCGACAGGGCTAGCGGGAAATTGAGGGAGGCTGTGGAGATCAGAAATTTGGCTCTGAAGATAAACACTAACGCTGGGTGGTCATTGCTGTAATTTGTATCGCCACTCGCTTATTGTCTGATTATCATGACATTCGGCGCTGACAAAAGCGCTTATTGTTTTGTTTTTGTTTTTACCTCAGCTGTAGTCCCATCCACTGATAGTCGATATTAGCGCTACATTGTATTAGTTGAATTCTTATCGCGCTGCTTCTCATACCCAGCTCGTACTGACAGGGGAATTGGCCTTTATCAAATGCTGGTTTGAGAGCTTGCACATCATTGTGAACCTGATGAAGGCAATTTGCCGAAACGTAATATTATGAAATGAGTTGAATTATTGCAGTACAGGTGGAATTCTGATAATTCGAACCTCCAAATGCCAGGAAAAAACTTCTAATTATCCGGACATTCTAATTATCCAAACATGACCCCACAACACAATAGGTATGTCAAAATGCTCCCGTGGTAATGCAGAGTTGCGCTATGGACCTTAGACACGTATTTCACGGATACTGAACTGACCAGCACAGCCTGCTCATGCAAACTGAACTGACCAGTACAGTGTACAGTGAACTTCGAATTACACTTTGCTAACTTCGAATTATCAGCACAAATCCCACACATTTTCTATGTAAGTGGAATTAGTGGAACTTCGAATTAACTGGACATGTCCGGTTCGAGGTTCGAATTATCAGAATTTTTAATATGGGAATCGTATTGACAGAAATCGGTCCTGGAAAAACTTCTAATTAACCAGTATGTTCGAATTAAGCCATATTCGAATTATCAGGATTCCACCTGTATTAAAGGGGAACTCCGGTCCAAAATCACCCCTATTTTTTATTGCGGAATCCATTAGAGTATGTCGTAAGTGGTAGAATGGCGAAAACCGGAAGCTTCTACGACAAGGATAACATACCTAAATTACCAATTGCAATTTTCCATATTTGGCACGAGGGGGCCCCCTCCCACCCTGTGACGTAAAACGTTCTCAGCCCGGTCCACTCAGATGAAATTTTCAAATTATTGAAGCAAGAATGAAAAGTCCTTGGCCATTGTTGAAGTGCTTGTTGTTCTGTGCCATGCCCGATTTATTGTCACGACTCGCTGCTGCGTCTCTGGATGCAACAATGTCACGAAGAAAGAGGCGCCTGCGGGCTGTCGTAGCATGGCTTTCCTCTGGCTGACGCGAACCTGACGACAGCTTGGCTATGGAGAGTATGTTGGAAGGATTTTTCTCCGACGAAAAATAATCGTGTCTGCACTGAGCATTTCACTGAGATGTGCTATGAAAGAGATTTCCAACAAGAGTTTGCACAAAGCATTGGTGGCTATAAGCAGAAGCAGCAGCGACGCTTGAAGCCAGGGTCTCTGCCATCCTGAAACTTGGCGGTGCATGTCATACTAATAGTTAGTAGCTCCTCTACCTCTGCTGCCAGCAAAAGCAGACCATCTTCGATTTACTTCCAGGAACGTGAGCACGATGAGGTAAGTGAACGGCATGATTTTGTGCCGTCCAGAACGTAGCTCTAAACGACTACAGTCCTACTCAAAGTCCTCTACTCAAAATCCTAGTCAATGAAGTCGAGAATTGATGTAATGTACATGGAACGTTATCATGTGTGTTATTTCGGTTCTCTTTATCTGTAAGTTTCCATTGCGTTACTTTCCGGTTGCAGCTACACTGCCACAAATACAAGGTACAGTATGATTTGTAGTCTGGAAAATTTCCATGCTGTCATACTGAAGTGGGCACCAAAACGTGTCCACTTTTCGTACAATGGCATGAGAGCACGGGTACAGTCGGCATGTCTGTCCCACAATGCCAATATAGGGAGAGCGCACGCCAAAACCAAGGAGGGTGTGCTCAGGTACAGGCTGGAATACACCAAGAGCACAAAGTGGCCAAGAAGCTGCACGACAATGTCCTGCAACTTCTTGAAGGACCTGTTGAACGATGTGCATACAACCATTCTCGGCACTCGCAACGGCACACGGCACCGGCACAACCCCATGCTCCCGAACACAGTACAGTCTTGTGCCATTGTATCTGTCAACTTTACCAGATTGTTCGTGCAGCTGCATTGGTGCAAAGCATGCGCCCACCCGAAAACACAAATATTGCCCGAGTCAAGAATAGTTATAAATCGTGTCTGTCAACTGTTTTCTACATTCTGCATGCACATGTACCAATGATTATGTGAACGTCAACCAGGCCAAGAAGCATTATCATCATCATCATCATCATCATGTCCAACTGCTTCCTCAAAGCCCCAGTGCGCATCTGCATTGGCTTCTGGTACAGCTGCTTTATCTTCGATACCACGCAAGACGGTATCACACGCCGCTGCTTGCGACCAAAGTATCCATGGGTGAACCATGTGTATTGTCTATACGCCACATGTCTCCAAATCCTGCACAAAACAGTTGGAGAGATGTAGATACACATACCACGAGTGTCTTCATGATTGTGTAAAAGTAAATAGTTTCAGTGTAAATAGTTTCGGATTCGAGTTAATATTTCTATGGGCTACTATACTAAAGACACTTTGGCCTTTTTTCAAATTTACATCACTTTTACACACAGTTGAAACACTTACAGTGCTAGGAATAGTATGAATGAAAGACATCGTTGTACCAGTATAATTATATTGGCATGGGTGCAATAGAACTTCATGATTGTGTGATGGAAGTTGGTGAATTTGAATGCTGTACACAAAATCATTGCACAACACGTCCCATCTACTTTGTACCGGTACATGAAACATGGAAAGAAAGGAAATAATGAAACCGATTCAGTGAATCCTCACCTGTTTGACCACGGTCCACACCTTGCCCGAAATTCTTCGAAGGAAAGCAATGCCACCTCGAGCACTGATTTTTGCAGGCAAACAACAGCAAACTCTGAGTGCTGCGTGACGCACTGCAGCCCTTCCTGCTCGCCGCGTTTACTGAAAGCTGCAGGAACCTCCCAGCAACAAGTCGACTCGACCTCGCTCCACATCATGCTGCATTGTCCGCAATGGCATCAAGCAGTGCTTCTCACGCGAGCACTTGCAACCAAAGCGTTCTCTTCACGTTCATCTGTTTTGTAGTCTCAGAAATATTACTTGTAGACAGTTTCGCAGACGCTGATGCGCGCTTCGGCTCAAACCTAAAAGGCCTCGGTGTTGTTGAATCCGAAGTGGCGTCCACCTCCACACCTCCCGTGGTCTCCTCTTCCTCCAACATGATGATCGAATGAATACTAGTACAAGGGTTATTGATTGAAGAAAAAACAGTGAATACCTTTTTCAATATTTCTGCAGGTCTACCATTTAAATAAAAAAATTTGGAGGTCACTGAGAACGTTTTACGTCACAGGGTGGGCGAGGGCCCCTCGTGCCAAATATGGAAAATTGCAATTGGTAATTTAGGTATGTTATCCTTGTCGTAGAAGCTTCCGGTTTTCGCCATTCTACCACTTACGGCATACTCTAATGGATTCCGCAATAAAAAATGGGGTGATTTTGGACCGGAGTTCCCCTTTAAAGGAAAAGAGCGTGTGGGCTCTACTCTCAACTGTTTATGAAACTGCAGGAAGCCTCCCCACTTTTACTTATCTGCTAACTATGGAACAAAAAGAAGGCCCGACAAACCAAGAGTACAATGAAGACCCGAGTGTGCAGCTTGGGGCTTTCCACTATGGCCCAGTATGGGTGTCTGTCACGGCGGAATTCCATGATTACATCATATTTGGTGCAGATCTGAGGCAGGAAATGGCATAGTGTGTACAACTGAGCTGCAGTTGTGCAGAAAGAGACCTGTTTGAATCCTGCTTGTACGCACTACATCACTAAAATGATGTAATCACGGAATTTCGCCGCGGCAGCAACCCATCCGAGCTGCACACTCTGCTTTTCATGTACTCTTGGAACTCGGTTATCCTCACTCTGGTAACTATGGAAACAAAAGGGGGGGGGGGAGAGACAGAAAAACACATATCTTAGGACTCAGTTGGTGGGCCAAGGAAATATTGAAATGAAAACAAGAAGAATAGTGGGGCACGTATCTTAGGTGAACTTCTCCCAAAGAAAAGGAAAGTTCAGGGTCGGTCGTGGGCGCATGGCACAGAGTCAAATTTGGTCTTGGTCCGAGGAAGCTGTGATGCAATGTTCACCAGATATTCCTGATAGGAGTGCACAGTACTCGGTTTTCGGGCAATGAGGTCATTGAGACAAGACATGGGGAGGGGGGGGGGGGGAGCCGGTAATTAGGACAAATTACCAGCTTGACTGGACGCTTTCACACATCAATTTACCGGCTGGGCTCTCATGTAAGTTCACCCGATCACGGAAAGTAAGAAAGTAGCTGGCACAGTAGTTCCATGAGCTCGCTCGCTAGCCTGTTGGGCGGATGGCGTGGGCACCAGGCACACGCACGATGAACTGTAGTCTTACCCATTGTAGCGAGCCTTGACAAACTCCAGTGCCTGGCGACAGTCTTCACCAACAAACTCCAGTGTTGTCGACCCCGTCT